ACTGGAAACACGAGATATACTCATATGATTGTAGGGAAATTCAATTACCATTCTTGCATCACCTTAAACGAATTAGGGTGAATGCAGATCTTAAACTTGTATTTTGCCATAGCAATCGACTATTGTACTTATATTTAAAGTAAGTATGTGCTATTGTGAGGCCTAGCCATATTATTATGGAAAAATAAGGACTACTTACTATGAATAAAATTGAGTCTAGCCTCAACAACATCCCTTACGCAATGAAACATGCTGCACCGTGCATGAATATTTTACAAACTAGGCTAGACAATAGTAGAAGCCAGCCGAATGAACTGACTTGAGCACAGAGAATCCTTTGGAGTTGGTATATCATCAATTCATCATTCTCAATTGGCCTCACCGGAAGCCAAAGGAGGATTGCCTTGGAGCTGTAACTGGACAGCAAAGGCCGATTCCTATTGTTCTGCAGCCGTTTGGCTTTAGCATGACATCCATTTAGACGCAGTCCACGCCCTCGCGTTTGGAGGAAATTCGGCCAAGCATTCCTCGGTCATTCAACATGACAGACATCGTCAGAGCTGGAACTCATTCTTGACAAGTTTCCATAATGGCACAATCATCGTATCTGTTGAGTACGAATTTCTCGGGCTCGAAGGACGGTGCTTCGAGGATTTCTACGCACAAATCTACAGCAATAGTCTCAAAGCAATTCTCCTTCAACTTCCGGTGAGGCCACTGTCGCCTCTTCAAACAATAGGACAGTCATGCCAACATCTATTTTTAAAGGGATTTTTTCGGAAGGACGATCTAAAACATGACTGTAACTAGGGGTCAGAAGGTTCACGTCCTGGGAAAGATCTGGAGCATATGTAGTGACGATACCCAACTATTCGCAACTCTTTATAGCCTCAACTGTATAATATTGAACTAAACACAAGCTATACAGCTGTCTGTCCATAGCGCAGAATGGGTAGCACTTATCAGAGTTCATGCGGATACGGAGAGTAACTGGGTTTCGATGAATCTCCTGAGATAACATTGTTGGAGAGACTTTCATTTCGTATGCGAGTACATGAAGAAGAGATTCGAAGGTGGACCTCACCAGAAGAGGACGGCTGAATCGGGTTGAAATGCAGCCGTTTCGCTTTTATACGATTTACCGATTACATGAGACTTTTAAAGAATCAATTTTAATTATGATGATGTCCGTCGAACGATGGACGAAAACTCAGCTCGTTTTCACGCGAAACGAGGGAGGAAGTCTCGTGGACTGCGTCAACCTAAACGTCGCATAAAGGCCAAACGGCTGCAAAACAACGCAATTCAGTCGTCATCTTCTGGTGAGATCTACCTTCGAATCTTTTCTTCATGCACTTTCATACGAAATGAAAGTCCTCCCACCAAGAGCTCATGTGGCAGACGACTGAAGGAGGAGTTGCTGTGAAGACGAGTTTTTGATGAAAAAAATCGTTTCATTTGGATGCAAGGTTGCCGAAGAGCGGACCTACAGGTTTTAGAAGAGCCAAGTGACGACACTTTCCACGAGCGACAGGTGAAGTTTCATGCTACTGTGAAGGTTTGGCGACGTAAAGCGGTGAGAAGAAGCAGAGTGTTGAAGTGAAGCGAGGCACGAAGACGAGGAGACGAGGCGTAGTGTTGAACTTGAGCAAAGGCACGGAGGTTAGACGCGAAGAGTGTGGTACAGCAAAGTCGGTTTCCGATTGGCATCTTGATGGGTGCGTCTGACCTGCCGTTAGATCGGAGTTTGGCAGTTCTGATGGTGGCTTCAAGGTGCTCGGGACAGAGGCTATCTGGGGCACCGGTGGTCTGGTGCGAGAGAAGAAATCTCACGGTACACGAAGTGGCACATTCGGCCTAATTTGACTGTGCTGATTTATCCATCTAGGAAGCCAGGGAAGAGGCAGAGCGGAAAATTTCACATTTGAGAAATAGGCCGCAGCAAAGGCCCTACCTACCCTTTAGGCAATCTTATAGGCACTAGCGATTGGGGTATCTGAGAAGTCGGACATAACAAAACTTTTTCTCGTTTATAAATTAGCTTTCGAGATTACTATCAGATTTTGAATAAAAACTGTCTTCAGCCTGTTTTTCGCACAATCACATGATTAGGTTCCGTGTTTCCATTGAGTTTCGCGTCGCTTCACTTCCCAGAAGGTATTCTCATTCAAAGTAAATGGCAATTTTGTCTCATAAAAATGTGGTAAAATTCAAATATCAGACCCTAGTTGCAATTATAACGTAGCTTCCTTTTTCGTAAATGAGTAGGTTTTCGAGACTACCGGTAAATCGGATGTTGTTGTGTGTGTGAGTTGTGCTCACTCTATTTCGTTTAAGGTGATGAAGGACTGGTAGTTGATTTTTCCCACATGATATGAGTAGAGCTGACGTTTCCATTCAATTTCACATAGCCTTGCTTTCCCAAAAGTTGTTCTCATTCAGGCACCAGTAGACTGCAGTTTCGACCTCGAATCGGTCTTATCAACATCCCAGGCAGGAGTCGAACCATGACAGGGCAGCGTGTAAGGGTGGATATAATCCAGATATCTGATTTACCGGCAATCTCGAAAACCTACGCATTTAGGAAAAAGTGGTGTCGTCGATTGTTATAGCAAATATACGTTTGCTTCATCGACAACCCCACCAAAGAAAGTGATATGACAAAAGACCTGGCCTTCCTTGAAATTCACATTTGCCCTCTGACCCAAGAGCACTCGTGGCAATGCGGTCGAGTGGTCACGGTTCGACTCCCTCTCGGGTGTTGATAAGACCGATGCGAGGTCGAAACTGCAGTCCATTTCAGCCGGGATGAGAACAACTTTTGGGAAAGTCCACGGTCTGATGCTGGGAATCATGACAACTTCTATAGCAGAGGACTTCGGACTAGGTGCGTTCTACTAAGTCGCCCTGACAACAAGAGTAAGCTGCGAAAACGAGGTCAGCCTCCTTCTATAAATCGAAAGGAGACTGCGACCATACCGCGGCCACACAATCTTGATCTTCATATCTTCCCCTTGCTTCTGCATAAGGAGTCAAGATCACACAAAACTTGGCATTCCGTGAGCCATCCTGCAGGCTCTTTAATGTGTAACTGTTAGTCGCGTTTAAACTTGAACTGGCTGTGACAAATAGAAAATCCGTGTTCAAGAAATGAGGTTGCATACATACTAGAAGATAAAGGTGCATCAGGCATTTATTTAACTAATACGTTACTTCGTGCACTTAATTTTTCATCTGGTCAGCGTGATGCAACATTTAAAACAAGTTATCATCTGTTATGGTGAATACTTAATGTTGTTATTAGTTTGAGCTTGTTTTCGCAACTTTGTCACTTCACTTGATAGAGTGAAATCCCAGAACAAAGCAGAAAAGGGACAGATCTTACGAATCCCGGATCAACACAACCAGCACAGTGGTGGGGGATGAAGGAACCAGCGGGGAGTAGTAATAGGTCTCACTTAATCTCGTCAAAAGGGTACATCTCAGCTAGTTTTAGATAAAGAAGTAAGAAATTGTAATATTAAAGGGGTGGCACCAGGCTATAGGATAATTGAATAGCCAGGGACAGATAGACAATTGGTCAAAGGTTTGACTTCACTTGTATCTTTGACGAGTTGTAGTGTTTTGCTAAGACTGGCTAGATTCCTTGACGATGCCGGCGAAAGGTCTGGTAATGCACCAAGTCCACGATCAGACTGTGGAAATTATCATGCATTCTATGGACTCTGGACAAGGTGCGTTCCTCTTGGTCTTCCTACCAACATAACGAAGTTGGGCTAACAAGATAAAACAACTTATATACAACGAAAGGTGACCGCAATCATACAAAAGGCCACACCATCTTGGTCTTCATACCTTCGATTAATTTTATTAGATTTTAGTCTCTGAGTCTGAGTCAGGAGATTAAAGAATGCTACTGCATAAGCACCCTTCTCAGCAAACGCCTTCAAAGCCGAAATTCAATCTAAAAATGATTACAATAAAACTGCCTGTTGCCCTAAGGCAAGCACTGTGTAAGGTTTGGCCTAGCGTCAAAGAAAAATGGAGGGCTTCCAAAAGACCCTAAAATACAGCAATTTAAGATTTTTCATGGCAGACGATCCAGAAGCTATTCACGAACAATAATTCAGCATTAAAATCAAGATTGGCTGTTCCAAAAATATCCAGGATTTTGAAAACAACCAGCCTGAATGATCTAGACTGTTAATGAAAATGAAAAGTATCTTCCCTTCGGACTTGCATCCAAACGAGATAGCTTCGCCCTAAAAATATTTTTATCTTAAAACATAGTATTCAGTAGAACGATTAAAAAAAATATTCACCATACCAATATGACCTATTCAGAGGAGGTGAATTAAGCTCGTCCTGTATTGTCTTAAAAAGCAGGCTTGCACTGTACTCAAATTGTAGTGTTTTTGGGGGTTGCAGTATTCACCAGTGAATTTGTATGCCGTGGGTTCGACACTTGTCAAAATTGATGACGAGACCCACGAAAGTTTGAAACTATAATCTGACCTGGTCTAAAACTGATTAAACAGGTTCAAGTAACAGACCACTTAAAGAGAGCTTTATCAGTAATATTCAACATAATCAACTACCGGTCTGCTAAAGCCTAGTCGGCAAATCGGATTTATTAAATACTACCTAGTCACGGAAATCACACAAGTTGTGCGTCTATCCGTATTTTCTACATTCAGTTAGCCTACTATCATTTGGAAACAAGTATGAGAATAACAGGAATGATAATAAGTTAACTGAGGCTGTTGAAATTTAAGGAAATCTGAATTAAGATGGTAATTTGGGCACACAATCAAGGCTATTGGAGGCACTAAGCATAGCTTTGCAATTGTGCCTAGTCTACTTAGAAAAATGACCCATTCTCTAGGTCCAGCCACTATAAATTTTGGTACTTTTGGTCCTCTTCTGTTGGTGAAACCTGGTGACTATGTTGCTAAAGGTTGAAGATATAGTGAAGATGATACATTGTGGTCTGAAATGCATCAAATTGCTCGCTACACAAGTTCGAGGTTTAGCAAGCTCATTAATACCTTTTGCTGCATAATTAAACTTTAAAATCTCAAGGATGATGTTAAGCTCAGGAATAATTTCTTTTTTGTAAGTAGGCTTTCGAGGCTACTCATCTGATCGTGGGAAAATTAAACTACTAGTTCTTCATCCTCTTAACCAAATAGGGTGAACACATCTCAGATAATTTCTCAGTCATGATTGGCGCTGTTGCACCCCTACACGTAGCCATGCAAACACCCACTTCAATTTTCGAGTACAAGAAATGAAACGAAATGGAGGCTATCACATTATTTTATATCTCTCTTTTTACTTATTGTTCTTAGTATGCATAACGCAAGCAAGATTTCATGATTTCGCGCTGGGTTGGAACCTTTGTAGGAATAGGAGCCAGCTCTAAAGATGCCTACCAAGCGGCATGATAGCAAAATATCAAGAAAACCTGGGTTTC